CCCCAAAACCCCAAAACCCCAAAACCCCGTATGTAAAATAGTTAGCAATATTTGTAAGTAAATAAATAAAATCAATAATTTATCAGCTAATTATATTATGATGAAAATATAGCAAAGAAGCAATGGCGATACTAAAAGATCCTCTTTAAATCTGAAAGAATCTTCATCTATAGGTACCAGTCAGATTAAACCCTCTCAAAACAAAAAGCTAAATTAGTACTCACGTAATAAAACGAAATAAAATGTATACGATGACGGGAAGCCAGTATTAAATAGAGGCTCACTGGTTAGTAAGACTAAAAAACCTCAAACAGTAAAAAATTAACTGTCTAAGTGCTTCAGCGACCCAGACCTCTAGAATCAAAGCATTTAAGATTTAGATGATAATAGTGAACGTTATATACCTCCTCAATGAGAGTAATTCAAAATGATGAGAAGCAGTCCAACCCAAGAAATAGATTAAGCAAAAGCTGCTTACAATTTTACATCTTCTGCATCCAAGAATTAATTAGTCTCGTAGAAGTAACTACCTACATCTTGAAATACACATTTAATAAAGCAGAAAGTTTTACTTCACGACTAATAATTCATTGATCCAACCGCCACAGTCAACCAAATGTAGACTTAATCTAGCGCATTCAATAATACACTTGATGCTCCATAGAATAGCTTAACGATTTTGAATCACTATCAGCAGCAGGCAGGCAATTAGGAGATGGCTGTAAAGTTCACACCCAGCAGATTATTGGAGATCAACTCAAGCACTGAGAAAAAAGACTACAAAAGGAGCACTTATAATCAAATCGACTTCCACCAAAGATAGGATACCACTCGACAAGAGATAACCTAGTATCTACTGAATGACAAATTAATCAGAAACAGCCCAACTCATGGTTAGCCTACCCTCATGCAGGAGTATAGGCTGAGGCTATAAGAGCATGAAGATATCAGCGATGACTCCTACAGCTATCTGCATGAGAATGAAATCAGCAAAGAGACAAATCAGAATGACGGTCCAAACATTGTGAGTTCCTCAACTAAGCAGAAGATCAAGTCAAAAAACAGCATTCATCACCAATTGAATGACTTTGTGAATGTCTAGGATTTCTCCCCTCACAATGAAGCTGACAGCTACTCCGAGAAGATGAAAAATGATGTAATTAAATCCTTTAACAATATCAATTCTAAGCAACTTTCACCAAGCAAATCACGTGAGGAGCCTATGTTCAAGCTTCATAAGAACTTCGTTAATCCAAGTGACTGCTCATCTATACTGAATGAAAGTACCAACTTAAAGGATATGATGATGAACAGATATGCAAAGAAGCGATTACTCTCCAAACAAGAAATTATCAAGAATAGAGATGCTACCTTGAATCTTGATAGTCTCCCTTCACAGTAAACCATGACGATGTCTTCACCCTCGAGCACTAAAATCAACATGATTCTGGAATTAAATCTTAGACTAGCAAATTTAAAGGAACTTTCAGAGTAGCTTTTTGTGCAGAATATGTTCATTAGATAGATTGATGTGCGCAATAATCGCTTGTGCGCTATTCCTGACTCCATCTGTGACCTGCCCCATCTGTGGAAAATCAGACTAGACTATAACTATCTGCTTGAGCTGCCTGAAAATATCGGATATCTACCAAAATTAGAGTACTTCTCAGCTTCCCAGAATAAGATATCACAGCTGCCTTAAAGCCTCGTTAGTCTTGGAACTAAACTCGGAGTCTTGTAATTCAATGATAACTAACTTAAATCTCTGCCTAAGGATTTCGGCAAATTAAGCGAGCTGAGATCACTTTTACTCCATAATAACCATTTGTGGGAAATCCCAACTTCTATCAGCAGAATGGCAAAACTGAGTGAGTTCAGCCTAGACTGGTTTGGCTATCATTTCAGGGATAGGCAGATTCCAAAGATTTAAAAGGATGAAACGGGAAAGTTGCTAATCAATGAGTTCATCAGCTTTCTACAAGTCTTTGACAAGTGCTAAAATAATACAAACAATCACGAGAATCAGGTTTCCTTCATGCATTATATCATGTACTTTCACAAACTTTTAAGAGCAGCAGACTTATTAGATTTGGAATTCCCGAAAAAAAGAAGTATATTTCATATGCTTGCACTGAATGGAAACCAGCATATTTTCCAGGAACTCTATAGTAACTTGAATAACATAACTCGTGTGGACATTAACTAGCTTGATGAAGAAGAATCCACTCCCCTGTTACTCGCAATCAAGAACAAAAGAAAGGACTTTGTTAAGTATCTGTGCAAGCAGCCATTGGTAAATATAAATAAAGGCAGCTTCAAGTATGGATACCCTTTACACATGCTTATTCTCACACATGACTTGAAGCTTGCTTTGAAGTTTATCAGACAAGAATAGAGTTAAGAACACTACAGGTATCTCGATATAAATGTTAGAAATGAGGAGGGCAATAATGCAATGCACTTTCTATTCATGAACTTCTCAATAAACACGAATTAATCTATCCTTATTGCAGAAGAGCTTATTAAAAAAGGTATTAACCCAAATGCCCTCAATAAAAATGATTTAAGTCCATTGCATTTAGCAATACTAGGAAGTAACTATGAAGCAATAGAGTTCGCTCTATATATGAACAAAAAGTAAAGAAATGAATCATTTTCTAACTGTAGAGGAGGAACAGCAAATAAATAATAGACTCAGATGTTTGATTTCAATTTAAGAGGAGGCAAATTTAACTAAAACTGCTTACACTTAGCAGTTGCGAGTAGTAATATCAGAACTGTGATGATACTATTATAAAGTAGCGAGTATTTGAATTTCTAAGCCACAGACGATGAAGGGCGACTTCCTAAAGATATTTGTCCTTATAATTCTCCCTATTATAAGTTGCTTATACAATACGAATAATTGCAAGCAATGAAGTAAAAAATAAGAGAGCAAGATAATGATTAATTATGTCTTGACTTAAGTAAATAAGAGGTAGCTCACTACAACATGAACAGAAGAGTATGCGAAAGCCCTAAAACAACTAGAAAAAGAATGATTGATAGAGCTAGGAACAATAGTCTCAATCTATATAGTAGTAAAAGATTAAAGACTTATCAGAGCTAAGGTAACCTTAATTTTGGAAATTGCAGATAAAGGTAGAATTCTAATACTAACTATGATCCTTCAAGAGAGGAAGGAGAGATAACTCATCATAAAACATTTAGTCTTGACAGATAAGTAGCTACTTAAAGTCATCATCGAATGTTATCTGGTTCTGGTCTAAACACAGTAATTGGCAAGACTCACATAGTCTTGAGTAGCATGAATGATGAATCTAATTATGGAGTAGATGAATTCTCAAATCTCGATTTATAAACTGTGAATAATAAGAAGTCTCCTGCACTAATTGCTTAAAACTTAAATAGAAATATACTTACTAAATATAGAGCTAAACCTAAAGTCAGTTAATAAATAAGTATTGATGCTAAAAACAAGGATTGCATCATATTTAGAAAGAAAAGGTAATCTTAATGTGGATAAAATTAGGTGGTAATCACTAGCAATATATCATCTCCTAATGATTCAATCATTAATACAAAGCCGTAACATAGTAAAAATATAAGTGATCTATCAAGGGAATAGTTTATATTACAGCAGCCATTCAGACTTGAAAAGAATGAATCTGTGATAGATAAAAGCCCCTGCAGCATATCTAGGTTAAATTAATAATAAAATCCTTATCACCTTGATCCAAATTATGCAGATGCTGAAGAGGATGAAGCTAATATACCGGAAGAAGATATTAATAGATCATCTGAAAATCAGAATGAAGCTAAATCACCAATTAGAGTTCTATAGAAGACATAGACTGCATCTGGTAACTAGTCTATGACGAACCAATAAAAATTGATGTCATAAGCGAAAAGAATAATAGATGAGATTAAGAAATGCCAAAATACATCAGAAATATAAAGTGAAGGACGATGGAAAATTAGCAACATGAATCATCAATTTAATAGATAATCTCACCTTAGCTTCACTCATAATGTTAACAGTAGCCAATAAAAGATGAGTGTTGTCACTAACTAGGAACAAGGCAATTACGTCAATGAAATGAGTTAGCTTTGTATAGTTACCGATGATTTCATTGGAATTCAGGCACCATAGGAGGACTAATTTAGTCCTAAATTTACCCATAATCAAAAGGAATTCAACAATTTAAAATCAAAATTAAATAACGACATATTTAAAGACAATCAAAATGTATATAGTGATAGAAAAAAATCATCTTTGATCAACAATATAGCAACCTATGAGACTATGTATCATGCTTTTGTCAACAAAAGTTGCAATTTTAAACAAGCTTTGATTGAGAATCTATAGTCATTTTCATTTTTAAACCCGAATGATAGCAAATTGGTAATTGATACACTATATATAGCTTTAAGCTAACTAACTACTAAAGATATTTAAGAACTCTTTCTATTACTGATAAAATTAAGAGTACTAAGGCTATCTTATTAGCATATTAATAGAAGGTTTCTAGATTTTATAATCTTTGAACTCTTAAATGCCTATCAAATTAAGGCTTATTAATAATAAAAAACTTACTAATGTAGAATTGTTTCCGATGGATTCGATTAATAGCATATGGAGACAGATTCTTATCCCCATCAATCAGAATCGATTCAAAAGATTAGACATATACACAAGTCACCCAGTTTCAAAGCAATGACATATAAGTCACCTTCAAATTCTCAAAATTTTCTCAAAGAGAGTTTATTATCTAGATAATAAAATACTAACATGTATAAAATCAAGGACTTCAGTTCAACCTAGAATTTATTGAGTGGAACAAGCAGCAATGAGCTAAAAAACTTTATAAATATTAGTTCTATTACCTCAAACTTTCAAAATAGCAGAAAAATGAGTACTGAAGGAAATGATGTTAAGAATTCAATTAAAAGCTACAGAGAAAATTTGACAAAGTAGATAGTTTAGCCATTAAAATAAAAACCACCGAAGATTGAGATTAAAACATCACAGACAAATACTTAGGTTATGAATACAGAGAGACTGTTAAATTAGCAATAGGATGTCGATATCAATTCAGCTGAGATGATTTAGCAACAAAGAATAAGTAGTAAAAAGTAAAGTATCTCAAATGAGCAGGAACCATATCACCCTAAGCTTAGTGGAAGTTTATTCCTTCATAGTATTGAAATTCAATCTAAGAAGTTGAAGGATCAGACAAGCCATAAGATTCATCTTTAAACTGAATCGAGGAACAGTACAAATCATAACATAATGAGACTTGATAAAACTGATGATTCTCAATTGTATTACTAAAGAAAGTAGTTAAAGCCTTCAAACAAGGTTTATCAGAAGACTACTCGAGAGAGGTAATTAGAGGAATATGAGGTGTATGGCAACATTAATACAGAAAATTAGAGTGAAAAAAATCCTATGAGCAATAGTCAATCTATTTAATCATCAAGAATTATCCAGCATTTCTAAGAAGATCCACTAACGTTTACAAATAGTAGGAATGAACTTAAGCCATTCACGGACAGAAAAGAATCAGTAAAGGAACATAGATATTACTAGTCTCATAACCCAATTCAGACACTAAGATCTTTTGATGTGAAGCAAAGTACAACTCGAGTATAAATTTAAGAAATCAATTCTTATTCTCCTGAAATTTTTAGAAAAGACATTAAATCAGGTAGCGGAAAGTAAAATAATAGACATCTCTTGAATACAAACTCTACAATCCAAAGAAAATAATCGTCTGAAATGGTAAGTAGCAGCAGATCAAGTATATTCAAGAAAAAGCAATCTTCAAGATAAAACTTATTCCCAGGCAAGATATAGATACTGTCATCTTCAAAACAGACAGGAGTTGATGCAGATAAAAGCAAAACACTGAGCAAAACTGATAAAAGCAAGGTAAGTGCAAAGCAATCTCCAATCAAGTCAACTGAGAAAATCACAATACTATCTACATGCAATTCAAATAATAAATCATCTGCGAGAAAGCTTCACCCATATAAGCCAAAATAACCAATCAATTATGAGGCTAGAATAAATATCAAAGAATTCAGTCCATAAGTAAGCCATAGAATTTACACTGAAAAGATTAATAAGACAAGTGAATCAGATAAAAAACTCAAAATTTCAATGAGCTTAAAGAAATTTTGAACTTGCATAAAATTGAGAATCTAAAAGTGTCCTCTCATGAAATAAATGAATAACATATAAACTGGATATTACAATGATTTATTTTTTCAATGATATTATTTTTTATTTACTTTTGATTTCATGATTTCTCTCTATTTGCTCTCTAGGGGTTTTGGGGTTTTGGGGTTTTGGGG